CTCCTCTCCTCTCCTCTCCTCTCCTCTCCTCTCCTCTCCTCTCCACGTTGATCATTTGTTTTAACCGGTTTGGAAGCATTTCACGCTGCTCTTTTTTCAGTGGAACTGCTGCTACTTTTAAAGCAGTGCTTTATACACCGTGCCAGCTGTGTCAACGTGCACGCATACCCTGTGTCAACTATATAGTGAGCCACCCTGCAGGGACCTTTTTGTGTTTAAAACCAACGTTTTGGACATTTTGCTATTTGAAATAAATAAAACTTATGCCAGGTTGGTGGGGGACAGGGGGAGACATGTGTGAACCCCAGACTTCTTCCTCCCCAGAATCGGGTGCTGCATTCATTACAGAATGCAACAACACTAGTTGTTCATTTGGTCACCTTAACATAAAAAAATAAAGTCTGGTGCCAGTTCTGCCTAATCTGTCTGTCTCATCCTTCAGGAAACCTGCAGAAAATGCCAGGGCCTGTGGAAGGAACACATGAACCTTACCTGTGAACAGCTGGCCGAAAAGGATGACATCAAATACAGAACATCTATGTAAGTAATCTCCAGGTGTGTGGAGAGAGAGAGAGCTGGAAGAGCGGTTTTAACTTAGGCAGGTCAAGAAGGTAGCTCATAATGGATACCGCATTGCCAGTGCCTGTGTTCAAGCAGCTGCAAGTACTTGGTCCATATAGCCCAACATTGCCAGCAGAGGCTGGCAGCAGCTCCCCAGGGGTTCAGGCAGTATTATTTACTAGCTCTACCTGGAGATACCAGGGATGGAAGGATGCTGCATCTGAAGGCCAGGGAAAAGGAGTCCCCATGCCTGAATGCAGTCACCAAAAGGGACTGTACAACTTCCAAAGGTGGAGAGTTACGGGCATGGACTGAATGGACTGAAGTGGACAGGCATCTTTGGGAAAAAGCAGTCCTTCAGAATTCCTTGTGGGGAGCAGAGGTTGTTCTGCTCATGACGTCACAACTTCGTCTTTGCACGGGCACCATTCTGTGACCTTGCGTTGCCACATTCCCTCCTGGATGAAAGAGGAGTACACATCTCTGTGTTAAAAAAACGGGGGATTGACATTCTGTTTTGTGTATACCAAAACCCACAAAGGAGTTGACAAAAATACACAGCAAACCTATGGAGAGGGAAAGAACACAGCCATCGCACAGTGGCTAAAACAGAGCACCGGAGCTCCACTTGAGCGCCCTTTGAAACAGCAAAATTTAGCAGAGTTTATTGGCCTGGTGTGGCTGCCGTGCAGCTGAAATTCCTCTCTGTCGCAGACAATAAAACTTCCTGTTTGAGCCAAGGGAAGAGGAAGCACAGCTGGAGTTCAGACCTGGCTTCCTGCTCTGCTCAGAGTTTCCTGTTGGGAGAATGAGAAGGGAGCAGCATGGGAGAGAGCAAGCGCTTGATCCGTTGCTTGTCGGTTTACTGTCTGCCTGAAGCGCTAGTGCAGTTGCCAGGAAGGGGGGTTGGAATGGGGAGACGGTTCCAAGAGGCTCTGAGCCATGGCTGGCAGGCAGAGCAAAGCTCCGATGGACACGGGAAGCTCCGCAGCATTGGAACCAGCTCTCGCTGCAAGGAACCAAAGATACCTTTCTCGTGCCCGTGAGATTCTGAGCTACATGGAACTCATCCTCAGATTGATTGTTAAAGCAATAAAACAGAAGGCCTTAAATGGTAATGCAGGGGGTGGATGGGTAAGGAGATCTCGTTCTTTGCCCAAGCAGGGTGATAAGCCAAGGTACAAAAATCCAGGCACCTGCTAGCCACTGGTGCCTCTAAAAATTTGGTCCAGGCAGCTGCCTCTTGGTAGGTCCTCCAGATGTTTAGGCCGTCACCTTCCATAATCCCTTACCATTGGCCATTTTAATTCAGAGGCCAAACCATCTGCAGGGCACTGAGTTTCCTACCCCAGCATTAGGCACTAGTCCAGAAAAAAAAACCCCAAAACTGGCATCTCCAGCTAGGGATGGAAAGTCTTACACTGAAATCCTGCAGAGCTGCTGCCGATCAGTTTAGGAAATGTTGAATTGGGTGAGCCAGCGATCTGACTCAGCAGAAAATAGCTTCCTGCATTCTTAACTTCTGCCCCAATAGATCTTTTAGATGGTATTGCTAAAGTGTCACAGTTTCTATTGACTTTTCAGCTTAATGCAGTTGTATTGCAGACTAAGCTTCAGCCTATTCCGTCTTACCAGCAACCTCTTGCATTCTTTTCTCTCTCACTCTTTTGTGTTGTTTTGTGGTTTGCACCATGGCTAAGGAGGAGTTCTCAAGAACTCGAGAGTTAGCTCACAGCTTCATGACTTTCATTTGATCCTAATCAGGATAGCATACCGATAGACTTGACTGACACATAATGCTAACCCATGGTTTAATTAAACCATGGGTTAGCATTTTGTGTGAACAGGTCAGTTCAACCCAGTTTATTTTATTTATGGTTTGTTTAGCAGTTGGTCAAACAAACCATGGGTAAAATAAACCATGGCATTTTTTAAGTCCCTGGGTTGTTTGTTTCTCTCCTTCACCAATATTCTTCCTGTATCTCAAATCTGTTTACCGCCCCTGTAGTATGTACATGTACGTAACTGTTTTTCTTTTATAACTTCTCTTCCTCACCAGCTCTTTAGCCTGGCAAAAACAACCCAGGAACAGCCTACAGTTCTGCATTTATACACAGGACAGGTTTGCACAACATCACAGTCCATGGTGGTTTCTTGTGCTAGATGGTCTGTTATCGAAACACTGCCATGGTATTTCAGTATAGTGTATCTGGTTTTTAGAAACTACAATAAGAAAGGATGGTCTGTTGTGTGGTTTTCATGCTTCAGCTTGGTTTCTCCAGTCAGCTGAATCCAGCCTCATGTTTCCACAATCCTGGTATACCACCGAGCCCTCCGGAAAGAGTGGCAGCTACAGGATCGGGATTGACTTTCAGGCACAGTGGCTGATGGGATGCATGCCAACAACAGGAGGACTGAGCAAGGATTGCTTTTCGTGATGTGTGAACTCAGCCGTACAAACCCACAGTTCAGAATCAAATAACAAACCAGGGGGTTATTTTTCTGAGTTCTTTGTATCTAACAAACTATGGTTTATTCGCATGGCTGAATTAAAAAGATCTGTGGCTGTATAACTTCATACAAAATCTGTAGCAGTGGAAAGCAACTTAAATGCTTGGTGCAGCACTTTAACCAGCATGAGGAAAACGTGAAACTCCCGTCAGCCTCTATACATCAAGTATTTACAGACCAAAATAGCTGAAAGTTCTTTTGCAGCATCCCAGTAACCAAAGCAACCAGTACTGACTTTTCAAAAGCTGTCTAACGACAGTGCTGAGTTTGTCTTTCCAGCCTCTTTCACTATCTCAGCAATATATTTTCTGTCTGTTGGAGGTAAGAATCCTTCTGCCCTTTGACTCCAGGGGTTAAGTAATTACTGGGTTAGACCTTAGCTCTGCTACTTCTTTGGCTGGGAAACGAGCTCTAAAGCATATGAATGCCAGTCTGCAAGGATCTTTTTCACTTAATTTGTCTCCAACTCATCAGAAGTTAATTCTAAATAGACAGCAGCAAAGACCTCCTTGGAAACATTATTGACTTTAGGGGGAGGTGGGAGAGGAGCGATTCTTTCAGTCCCATATTCTGGGAAGATGGTGTTTGGAGAGGCAGTCTGTTATTGAGAAGGTTCCTAAAGAATTGCGGGAAGTTCTCACTATGCAGGCTCCGTTTTGCGCCTGGTGCACCTGAAGGCCATAGACCAAAGAACAAGAGCCCCAGCTAAAACATATGCTTTATATTCTAGGTATAGTATCATATAATACTTTGATATGCAGTGCAAGATTATTAACTGTTGCCGAAAGCAGCAAAACTTGCCTATGATTTGAGCAATAGTTTTAAAAAAGCATCCCTTTTGCTTTAAAAGGTCAGCGCCCCAAGGAGACACTCTCTTGAAGAGACCGCCTCTTTTAGCAAGGCCTGCTTCCATTTTTATTAAGTGCATACGTGTATGCATGCGCATATAGATACACAGCATGTCCAGATAGGGTGCCTTGAAGCCAACTGTTGCAGTCTTGGATATACATTAAATATATATGTTTGTACTTTATAATTCAATTAGTTCCTCATACTGCTGTTTCTTGTTCGAGCCACACCCCCTACCTCTCTTTAGAGCTGTTCTTGTTGGTTCTTGTCTCGCTCCTTCTACGCTTCAGGACAGAGCTAGTCAACCATCAAATCATGATACACCCCAAATCCCACTGACCCCAGCCAGCAGGGCCACTGGGCAGGGAAGGTGGGAACTGTGGCCTGGCATCTCTGGGAGAGCCACCGCTCCTCCACCCAGTCTTGATCAGCTGCCTGTCCAGTGGAGCAGGAAGCGGCCCAGTCAGACTGTCACTCCATCTAGCCTAGTATGGTCAGCACCGATTGGCAGCAGCACCACGCCAGGGACTGAACCGGCAGCCTTGTGCGTGGAAGGCCTTTGCTGCGCTGCCGAGCTGCAGCCCTTGTGGTGTGTGCTGTGTAAAGGGGTGCCTTGTCTGTCATCTCGGTACTTTTAAGCAACAGCCACTGCACCCGCGAGCCCATGAAGTTGCTTCATGCAGAACTGATGGCAGCTGGCCTGCTCCGCTGGGGGCCAGGGCCTGCGCACACCTGCTGCTCGCGCCCTCTGCAGGCAAGCCAGGGGCTCTCTGCTAGGAGTCCCAGGCAGGCGCCTGTCCGGCTTACTCTCCCCCTCCCCGCAATTGCATGTTTCAGAGAGGAGAAGATGACAGCGGCTCGCATTCGGAAGTGCCACAAGTGTGCGACCGGCCTGATCAAGTCCGAAGGCTGCAACCGCATGTCGTGCCGCTGTGGCGCCCAGATGTGCTACCTCTGCCGAGCCGCCATAAACGGGTACGACCACTTCTGCCAGCACCCCCGATCTCCGGGAGCCCCCTGCCAAGACTGCGCAAAATGTTCCCTTTGGACCGACCCCACGGTAAGTGGCTCTCGCCCGCGAGTTTCCGTTTCCCCTCGAGCACGCTCGGCGCCGCTTGCATGGCGCGCACTGAGGTCGCTGGCTCTGTTGAAGAACGTTCGGAAGCGCTGCTCTGGTTGTCTCGGTGTCCTCCTGTCTTGTGAAGAAGTCTGTCAGTCGGGCTGCCTGCCAGTGCAAGGAATGCTTGGTTCAGTTGCTGATTTCCAGCTGATGGATCAGTGAAATTTAAATACGCGTGCATGCTGCTAGGCCTCAGTGACCTAGATGACCTAGAGCAGCAGTCCGTGTCTTAGACAGTTCTGGAATGCAAGCCCTCCACAGTGCCCTGCTCAGCTCTTCCAAACAAGGCTGTGGCTCCCTGTACAGGATTGCCCCAGCTTATCTTCGATCGTCCTTCTCTTCCCCCTTTGCCTTCCCTGTCTGGTGGCCTCCTCGCCTCCTCAGATTGTGTCCAAAGCACAGCAGTCTCAGTTTCGCCATTTTTGCTTCTGCCACTGGCTTGCTTTGGTCCAGGACCCGCTTGCTTGTTTCTCTGTTGGACCGGAAAAGCTCCCCTCCACCGCCAGGTCTTGAACACGTCCGTGCCGTCCCACTCTGCAAATATGTTGGATTGCAAATTCAGTAATTGCCAGTTGGTCTGCCTAGGCTGACTGGGGATGATAGGAGCTGCAGTCCAACACACCTGAAGGGCATGTGACTGGGAAGGGATGGTCCTGTTTTGCAAACCACCTCTAGGCAAGGGTCTGATGTTTGCTGAGAGGGAGCCCGCTTTTGTTTTTAATTGAGCTATATTCAACTTAGATCAGCTACCCTCTCCACCTTCAGCCCTTTACTTCCCATGGTGGAGCTCAGTGGAGGAGAAGCTGCACCTCCCAGGGTGAGTGTCGTCTTCCTTTGCTGTGGCATGAAGCCTCCTTCCCTTTGCTTTCTTCCATCCCTGCAGTTTTTCTCCTTTCCCCTTCCAGCTGCACTGAATATACTCGGCCCTTGACTCAAGGGCTCCCTGTCTAAGACAGGAATGATTTGAAAGAACTCCTCCTCCTCCTTCTCCTCCTCCTCCTGAATATCTCTGCCTCATGAAACCATTTTAGAGCTTATTGGGAACGGCTGTGCCCACACATGCATAAAAAGGGAAGACTTTTTTTCTATGTTCTGCATTACAGATGGAGAAACCAGCTCTTATTAACTCTTTTTTAATGACTTAAAAAAAAAAAAGCATCCCTCCACCCTGGAATAATTAGCTGGTTTCTCGCTCACTCAATATATAGACAAGGTTCCAGCACCATACAAAAACCCTTATAAAAATTATTCTCTAGTGGTATTTTGTCTTAACTGAGCACATCTATTTGAGGAGTTCTGGCTAATGATGTCTCCTTTCTGTGTGGTTTCAGAGCCTTCTTTTTCCTTTCTCTCATACTGCATTTTTCCCTTCGTTTAGTTTTGTACTCTTGGTGTGCGTGCCTGCATGGTCTGAGTTACTGAAGCAGTAAAAGAACACCTATTCCCACCCCTGGTGGTCTGTCCTGGCACCCCCCCCCCCATCCTGATGTGTTTGGCTACATTTCCCATAGTCTGCAGCTGTGGGCCAATATATCTAGAAGGTGCTAGGCTGGAGTAGATGAATTTGGCCCTCCTTCCTTTGCAGTGAACAGAGTGTGTTGGAGCAGTGGTGGTTTTCCAGGAAGAACATGACTGAGAGTGCAGTCTGGAGGCTGTAAGGTTTCTTCCGTAGCCGTGGGCTTTCAAACTTGCCCACCTCCAGGGAGCTCTTCCCACGTCGTTGGCCAAGTGTTGGCCATTACGTGCATATAGAAAGACCCAGGCCTGGGCATGGCAGCGGAGGGGTGCTGGGAGCCGTAGCACGTTTTTCTGCCTGTACGTGTGCAGCGACAGTCTGAGTGCAAGGAAGCCCTCCAGGCACGTCCACCTACTTGTAAAAAAGCACTCCGGTTTCAGTCCGTTCCTCCGTAATTTCTCTAGTTGTGTCCACGGATTTCAGGTTGCTTCCACTATGAGCAGGCCTCTCTGTACTAAGTTTTATATGTCGCCGAAAGCACCCCGTAGTTGCCCATCCTGCCCGCAAGCATTTTGATACCTTTCCCTTTGACCACTAATGAGTGCGGAGGGAGTATTTAAAGGCAATTGCCTGTTCCATTCCCTGCAGATATTTAAATATGGTGGCAAAAAATTTGAGGCAAGCATTTTGCAGCCAGGAGAGCTGTTTACTTGTCAAGAGAAATACAGCAGCTTTTGTCCTGCTTGCTTCTAAAGGGACAGTCAGAACCTTATCCTCCTTCCTTATGAGCAGGCTAAACACACCAATCATCCCATTTGGTCCTGCTCACAGATGGGTGGCGGGCTCTACGACCTTTCCCATTTTGGGGTTTGGCCCCATCCCTGCTGCACACTGAAGAAACGGTCGAGCACAATGGTGGCGAACCTACGGCACGCGGGCCACAGCGGGCACGCAGAGCCCTCTCGGCACGCGAGCTGAGTCACCCCAGCATCGCCCCAGCAGCTGAGCATCAGATAACAGCGCAGCTAGGGGCCGTGCGCATGCTTGGAAAGGAGTAGTGGCGCCAGGCGATGATGTCACGAGCACGACTCATTAGCCACGACTCGTCTGAACTTTCACATGGTCAGTCAGTGTGCTGCCAAGGATATATATATTTGCTTGGACTGGCTGTGAGGTGTTTCTTCTAAACTGAAACCTCAGTTTTCAGGTTTTGTTGCCGTGCTGGCACCGTGCGATAAATAAGTGGGTTTTAGGTTGCAGTTTGGGCACTCGGTCTCTAAAAGGTTCGCCATCACTGCTCTAGCAGCTTGGCCTCTGGCAAGTTCTGAAATGGGGACGCATGCGTAATGACTTTAACGACCCAGAGTGTCTCCAGGGTCACATTTCGCAGAGGCAGAAGCGCTACACTGAGTGCTGACCCCTTTGTTGGGACGAACAGGGAAGTCCCCAGGCATGCTGATGCGGGGAATAAGCTTCCGCTTATGAAAGGACCTTCTGAAAGCCCCAGCCTCAGAGCCCCGATGTGCATCATGAGTGGGCCCACAGAGGATGTGGGCAAAGACTCCTTCCTGCCCTCAGTGACCTCTCTGTGCCCGTCTCCTGGGGGAGCAGCAGAAAATCCTTTTAAGGCCACTTACTGTGCTCGGGAATAGCCCACACACCTGGGGGCTTCTCTGAACGATTGGCTCCATCTCACAAGCCGCCTGCTCCATGGCCAGCGAGACCGTTGCGGTGGCTGCTCACCGCGGTGGGTTGAGGGGCTGGGTGCAGGGAGAGGGCTCGGCTCTGCTGGACTCCCGCTCATCGGCTTCCCAGGGGCATCAGGTTGGACACGGAAAGACGCCTGACGCCTGGTAGACCTTTCAGTGCTTTTTGTGCAGCCTTAATGGACAAGAACCATTCTCTGTATGGTGGCCATTTTAAAGAACGGATGTGTAAAGAATCAAGGAGAGGGGCTTTGGGACTAGGAAAGCTGAACTCTCCATGCTCTTTGGTTTATGCAAATAAAGGGAAGCCACTGCCTTTCTCTGCAGCAGCTCTTGCAATCCCAGGGTGCAGTTCTGACACGTTGAAGCTTGTCTGTGCAGCCACAAGGGCTAGAAACTTGATTGTGGGTCTTCTTTTAAGGTGGTGATGCTCAAGTAGATGTATTATATATCCATTACCACATTCCATGCACCCATAAACTGGTCTTTTAGATCAGGTGTTCTTCGCCTTGTAATAGTTATGGATTACTTTGCAAGGGTGAGTTGCTATAATTCCAGCTCTGTGCATTTGCAAGATGATGCAAGATAATATCCTCTTAGTGGAGACTTTTCCTTTTCCTTTCTGCGCGTCTGGGAGCCACACCTGCAACACGCAGCTGGCAAGGGAAGAAGACAAAAGAAGACGAAGCTGCTTGTCTTGTGATGGGATGTGGTTCTTGCTGCTGCCTTGCCGCTAGGCAAGGCCGTGATTACCTCTGACGTCTGTGCAGAACCCCGCTCCGCTGTTGGATCTCTGCCACGTTGCGGTGTAGCATTTGGAAGCAAAGGGGACCACCCGATTTCAGTCCCCAGTGCAGCTTGTGGGGGATCCCTGCCTGCAAACAAGAGGGCATTAAGTAAGCTAGTGGCATAGCCACCGTTAGAATTCCCTCTTGTTGCTCCCACTGCCTACCGGGTAAAAGGGAGGGGAATCGATGGGACCCCTTTTGTGGGAAGAATAATGATAACCGCTTTGGCCAATGAATGTGCAAAGCAAGCAGCTTTATTGCAGGGTGAGAGAACAGGAAAGCATTAAAAGAAAGTTCCCCAGAGTTGGAATGTAAGCGGCCAGCACAGGTGAGCTCGACGGGAGTTCTAGTGGGGAGATCCCAACCTCTGTCCTTGGAAATTCCAGATTTCTCAACCAGGACCTGTGCTGGCACCCTCAGAAGAGGCAGTGATCACAGGACAGAGCTGCTATTGCCAAACTGCGCTTATATCCCACTTTTTTCTTCTTGTAAGGAGCCCAAGGTAGCTTACATCGCTCCATTTTATCTTCAGAACAACAACCCTGTGGGGTAATTTGGGCTGACTAGCCCAAAGTTGCCGAGTTGGGGCCAGAATCCACATCTCCCAGGCAACCTCCACAGCGCTCTGGCAGAGTTGCGTGAGTCTGTGCAGGGTTGCCTGGAAGTTCCTTCTTTAATCCCCTGCCCCACCTTTGTGTGTATTTTCATTGAGTAGATTGCAGTGCTTCCTTTCCAGAATGAGAGTGCTTTTAGGGCAGAGTTCAAAAACAAAAAGCACATGATACACTCAAACAGCATCAGAATTAGTAGTTAACGTATTTATTCTGTCAGCGTAGCTTGTCACAAGCATGGAGAGACACCTACTCCTGTCACTTTTTTTTTTTACTCCAGTCCAAGCTCTTTTTTTGGCGGGGGGGGGGGAGTAAATAGAAGCAGATTTTAAAAGTCTGGGAAATGGGGAACTCCTGGAAGCGCCGGCTGCTCCAGGCCAGTAGTCCGCTTTGAGCGCCATCCTGCAGCCATTTGCCATATCTGCAAAAAACCGCAGTCGTGGTCTGTCACTCGCTCAGGGTGAGTGTGGGGGGGGGGGCACGCCATGATGCGCAGAGCGGGGCTCCAGCTTGCTTCGTTTGCCACGCGTGCCTCCGGCAGTTGATCCACAGCCTGCTGGGGAAGAGGCGGGCTGCCTCCTGCGGCTTCGCTCTGCCCTGGGGACAGTGCTGGCAAGAGGCTTGACTGCTGACTCAGGGAAAGGAACTGGAGCCAGAGGAAATGGTACGAAGGCACAGGCCGCCCTGGGCAGAAGCCGGAGGCCTTTTCCCTTCCACCACCCGCCCTGGCATGAGCTGGAGCCACGTCCCTCAGCAACCAGGGCGGGGAGTTCCCTGGGACGCCGCGCTTCGCCGGATCCGAGCTGGGCAGCTGGCAGGCCTCACGCCCTTGTGCGTGCGTCTCGCGCAAGGCAGCCTCGTTCCAAGACGCGTCCCAGGGTGCTCACCCAGTCCAGAGCATTTTCCACGCTGGAAGGCGGGGGAACGGGGACGGGAAGACGTTAAAAAGGAGGAAATGAAAGCAAGATGTGCTGCACTTAAAAAAAATCCCAGCAGGATGGCCCCGCTCTTTCCAAGCACATCTGTGGCTTACATCAGCCTCTTCCTCATCCCACCCCCAGCACGACTCCCATAGACTACCCTGGGCTGATCCTGCACTCAGAGCGATTCCTGGAGATGTGTGGCTCGGCATAGGACCCCCACTTCCCAGAGCGTGCTTTGCCGAGCACTTAATTCAGGGGCAGGTGAGAGGAAGAGGGTGGGAGGAGGCAAGAAGAGGAAAGGAGAAGAAATGCAGGCGGGCAGCGTGTGCGTCTAGCCCGGACTGCTCACCGGCGGCAGTCACACACAGAGACACCGGCCATGCCGGCTTGCCTGTCTCCGCCACCTTCCGCCGTCGCCCTCGGCCTGCAGTCCCCGGGCCTGCCTTGATGCGCGAAATGTAACGCATGGACTCCGACTTACCTGCCAAATGCAGCATCCGGGGCCTAGGTGTGGCACACGCCCACCCAGTATCGACCCCTTCAAAGGCGAGGGGAGCGGCGCGAGCCACTTCCCTGTCCGGGGCCCCCGACCGTGGCTTTTCCTTCGAAATGCAGCAGGCATTCCTCGGCGCGAGGAAGAGCCACGCACACGTGTCCATGGCGCCCCGGCTCTCAGTGCCAGCCCCCCGATGGCAGGACGAGGTGCCGTGCAGTAGCGGGAGAGGAGCCACAGCAGCTGCCACGGCTGCTCCCGGCGAGCTTCCCGCTGAACCGACGCCTCGGCGGTGGCCGCTTTGCTGGTCACTGGGCCAGGCAGTTCCCTTCTCCGGTGTATCTCTGGGTAGCAAGCAGACCTTGGAGGAGCCTGGAGTGCACCTCTGTGCACTGCCCGGGCCATCCTGCGCATGCAGAGATTCAGTCCCCGCGATCCCCTGCCCAGGCTAAGGGACCTCGGAGCACCTCTGCCAGTCAGTGTGGACCATACTGGGCTAAGCGCATGGGTCTGGCTCAGTGCGTCTAGTGGCCTGCCAGCGGCCTGTGGTGAGCGAGGTGCAGAAGGACAGGGGTGCGTGTGTCCCACCACCTCTGCCCTGGCTCCTAAGCTTAGCTTGCTTTGGTGCAGCAGGGAAGCTGCCCCTTGGCCGGTCAGCTGCTGTGCGTGGAATCGGAGACGGGCCGGCAGTGGAGGAGGAATGCTGCCCGCTGCCCCTGGCGGAAGAGGGCTTGGGCTGGCCCTGCCTCTCTCCACCACTAATCCCAGCTTTGATTCCCACCTGCAGAGAGGAGCTGAGGCTCCAGGTGTAGCTCAGCTTGGGGCACAGAGCTGCCTGCCACATCCAGAGAATTCCTGAGCCAGGCGCACAGTTGCTTTCGTCTCCTCTTTTCCCCTCAGTCGTTTCCCAGACCCCTTTTCTCCTGCCCACGTCCTCAAGGCCACGTGGCAAAACAGCCAAGCTGTGGCCAGAAGCACAGCAGCTGGAGAGGCAACCTACGCATGTGTGGAGAGGCAGAGAGAGGACGAGAGGTACCGTGTCAGCACGAACAGGGCCCTGCCCTCAAGGGGCTGGTGATCTAAAGTAAGCCGGTGGGGAAAGCAAAGGGCACCGTTTCCCCGTTTGACAGCAAATGCTGTTAAATGTATGGAAAGTTCGGTTGCAAATTAGAAATGGAAATGAAGAGGTTGAGCCAAAGGCTGTGTTGGGAAGGCGAGTTTCGTTGAGGGATTTGCGGTTTCGATGAGGGATTTGCAGGAATGGAGAGGGATCGTCCCAAAGACCTGATCCGGGAGCTTGCCTCACCTGTAATTTGCATCGGATGGACGGCTCTCGCACCTCTAGAAAGCCCCGGCTGAAGACCGGCTTTGACTCGCATCAGCTCAGAGGCATTTGTTGGGCATTGGTGTGAATGCACGAATTTTCCTCGCATCACCCAGGTGTACAGGAACGGGGTGCTGAGAAACATGCATGAGCTTTTGAGCAGAGTTTTCACTCCGTGTCTCTTGCTGTATTTTCCCATCAGCTGCCCTGAGCGTAACATGAGCAGGAGGGGAGGAGGTGTGTAAATAAATAACACAAAGCAACCAACCGCCTTACTGCTCCAGTTTTTATGTGAATCCGTCTTTTGCCAGGCCTATATCCTCTGTGTCTTGGATAAGATAAACGGCTCCGTTCTCTGGCTGCAGAGCTGATGTCTTTCATTTTCACGCATGTTCCGGTTTGGGCCCTTGTCTTTGGGAGCTGTCACTTTAATCTAAATATTTAATGGCCGAACACCATTTAAAAGATTAACAGTGCTCCAGCTGCTGCTCCTCGGAAGGGTGGGCGAAGGGGAGCTTGCTCGCTGCCATCTGCTGTGTCGGGCCGGCAGCCTCGCACCGGGATCTGTGTTCTGTCTGAAAGGGGCTTAGTCGTGCCGCGTGGTTGTGAGTCAGGGGTCCATGCAAGCATGTTGTGAGCAGTGTGGCAGCGCAGCTGCTGTTCCTCTCCCCTCACCCTTTCCGGCACAGTCCAAGTCGGCATGGGAAAACGCGCAGCCGTTCAACCTGCCACCCGCCCCTCGTCAGCATGAATCTGTTTCTCGCTTCCGGGCAGCCATGAGCTTGTGACCAGGGCTGGGTGTGATACCGCATTTGTGCAGGAGGTGGTATTTCTTGATTGTTGGACTTAGATGCCTGCAAACCCTCAGCTTCCCTCTCAGTTTCTAGTCCTCATGTGACTGCATGGATGCATTTCAAAGTGTGTTGTGGGTGGAACCTCAGAAACCAGATTGGGTTGCCCTATAAATTTTCCAAGAGTCATGTGAGAATAAATTAATTGCCACATGAAAGTGTGACATTTGTGGGGATACACATAGCGCAAAATAAGCGTGGTTGCGCCCCTGTGCATATTTCCTGTAGAGTATAGTATTCATTTTTTCTCATTGCAGAATCCAGTGCAGCTTTGCACAGAGGCTGAGCTTGCTCGCTTTTTCCACCGCCCACCACAAGTCACTGCATTGCTGATATTTCTTTATGTTTCCCTTGCACGTAGGAAGATGACGAGAAGATAATCCAAGAGATTCAGAAGGAAGCTGAAGAGGAGCAAAAGAGGAAAAGTGGAGGTTGGTTGTATTCTCACGCATTAAGACTGCTGCAACTGGGTTGGAACTTTACACAGGGTTCCCTTGAGAAACACAGAAACAGAGCGAGTCAGAAGGGGCCTCCTGGGCCATCTAGTCTGACCCCGACTCCAACCGGCTCCGCTCACGACATGCCCACCATGCGCATGTCTAAGAGAAGAGCAGAGCAAGCCCAATTAGGCATGTTGTTCTGACATTCGTGCCCCGTCCTCCTATAATTCCTTCGCTCCTCTACCCACACATCCAAATCCTTCCTTCACAAGCGCTGAAGTGTCCCCGATGTCCCCCACAGAAGCTGGTTTGACCTGCTCTTCAGCTCTTCCATTGTGGCTCAAGGCTTGTGGGGCTCGGGGTGAGTTTCTTGGGCACGTCTGGTGCTGCCTTTGGTGTTGAACGGGGCTTGCATCCCACAGATGCTTATAAGGGGCAACCTTAAGTGTGGCCCTTTAGCAAGAGTGTAGGTTACAGGCAGGCCTGTAACCTGGAGCACCAGTGGCGCTCCTTGTAGAGTAAACACAGAATGTGCCTTCCTGGGGTTCAGCATTCACTTTTCTTTTTAACGGGTAAGTTTCTAGCCCTGTGGGCTTTCTGTCTTCTTTGCTAGGGCTCTTCCCAGCCTACTCCTTCACAACGGGAAGCATTCCAGCAATGCCTGCTGATGCCTCCAGCCAGAGGATATTTCAGTGGTTGGTAGGGGTGGACCTTCAGTGTCTGCCTCTCCCGTGACTCAGAGCAAAAAGCTGCATAAACACGGGTGGGAAAGCGGCAGAGTTGAATGGTCTGAGCTGCTCTCCGGTTTCGGGGTTTGGTATTAGAAACCCTGACCTTTTTATTTACGTATGTATTGAGTTCCACATATATCCTGCCTTTTTTTACCAAAGCAGCTCATCCTTTTCTTCTTACCATTTTACCTGTATCCTCTCAGAAGCCCTGTGAGCTGGCATAGACTTGATGACCGGCCCAAAGCCAGCGGCGTCCAGGTGGGGACTGGCACCTGGGTCTCCCAAGTCCCAGTCCAGCACTGTGACCACTGCACCACACCGCAGTGCCTCTGATGCAGTGCGTCTTGTCGATGCAGGCTCTTGGGCGTGCGGCTCATGACCGCCCTGCCCTGCCCTCAGTGCCCAGTTTGCATGTTCCTCACCCTCTCAGCCATTAGTGTGTTCTTTCCTCTGGTTCGTAGATACTCGTGTTCTAGTTTAAAAAAGAAAAAAAGTTTAAAAAAGAAAAAAGAACCTCTGTCTGCCCCTGGTCTGTGAAAATTCCCCAAGTTGGATGCAGAGTTAAGCCAGACCTTCTGCATTGGCAGAAATGGGCTTTGCTCCCACTCCAGTCCTCTGAAGGTGCTGACTGGAGACTGGGGAACCTCCGCTGGTTAGGGTGAGCCGAGGTGTGGCAGAGGGGAGGGGGGCTTCCCCCAGAATTGGGCAAAGGCCTTCTGCAAGCAGAGCCCTTCCTCTTGCAGGCGGAAGGCAGAACTTGGGCCCAATTCCTGTTTCGTCTGGCTCATCACACAAGTGTTAGCTGAATCTCATGAAACTTGCCTCGTGGGTAAAAGCAGTTGCTGTAACCGTGGTTTGCATCCATCTGCCAGACCTCTTCTTGGAAAGAGGCATTCCTTCCTGTGAGACTAAGGGTGGGATACCTCTTCTAAGATATTTTAAAAAATAAGTCCCTGGGGGATCTTATTTTTCAGTTACTTATTGTTCAGTTACCCCCGGCACCTTTCTGGCCAATCAAAATGACCTGATCATTTTAGCCAAACAAATGGATTGCATTAAATACAGACGGCACCTTTTTAAACGCTCCTCTTCTTCCCTGCCTTCCTCTCTGTGTTTTTCCCTTTTTCAGAAAACAGTTTTAAGCGGATTGGGCCCCCAGCAGAGAAGCCGGCGGAGAAAATCCCACGGATCGAAGCCATCCCCAGGCCGGTTCCACAGAACCTTCACCACCAAATGCCCCCATACCCGTTCGTGCACCCTCCCTTCGCCCTGCCCCCTGTCCGCCCCCTGTACAACAACATCGGCCCCATTAACCTCGGCCCCATCCCTGCCCCCTACGCCCCCCTGCCGAACATGCGGGTAAACTACGACTTCCCCCAAATGAACCTGCAACTGGAGCACAACCTTCCTATGCACTTTGGTCCACAGCCTCGACATCGGTTCTGAGCCCGGTTCTGGGAAGCACCAGTACTTTTTGGAAGTCGCTGCAGGGAAAGTCCACACACTGGCAGGCATTCGTCCCTCACCCTTCGAGTAACCCCGAAGCACTGGCCGCGCCTGGTCTGCCTCCCCCCCCCCCCGCACCCCAGTTCTTGCATCATCTGTTCTGAAATTGGCCTTCCTTGCTCCGCCCCGGAGAGCGGCGTCTGGGCCCCCGCTGTGAAGAGGGCTGTGCTCACACAGGTGTCCGGGGGCTGTTTTCGTGCATGCTCTTCATTTCCAAAGGAAGCCCTTGGTGGGGGAGGCAGGGGACGGCCCCCCTGGCAAGAGGAGGAGGCAGCAGCCCACTCAGAAAGCCTGGCACCCTTCTGCTGGCCTGCTGGGGGAGTGCGAGGAAGTTGTGGCGAGGGTTTTGAGCTGCTGTCGCTCCCTCACGGGGGCTGTTTGTGGAAGGGGTTTGTGTGCTTCTCCGTGGTTCTTGAGGGAGCCACCAATGCCGCGGCAGGAAGCAGGATTTCGGGCCGCTTGGAGCCACAGAATAGCCGTGCCTGAAGCCACCTGCTCAGCAGGAAATTCTGCCCAGGCCCTCCCTCGACAGCCAGGGGCTTCCCCTCATGTCCCTCTTCCGCCACGGGCACAGCGGACAAATACCCAGCCCCAGCGTGGCTCAGGATTTCCTAAAGTGGTTTTGGGTGGGTCTGGTTCTTCTGGGAGGCCAAATATGAGAGCCTGCTCATCTCACAGGCATCTCAGCAGAGGAATTCTGTCTCGAAACAGGTGCGGGGTGAACTTTGCTGAGGGTCTTGTGAATGATCTGCACACTTGACCCCTGGTGTCCGATTCCCGGTTTGGTGACAGGCTGCCTTGGTCCTGGTTGCTGCGCAGCCCCTGCAGCTGCTTCCCACAGGGCTATCCTCGCATGGCAGCTCCGCTTAAGTAGCAGCGCGGCCGGGAGGGCGACGGGGAGCTTGGATGGCAAAGCGGCTCAACTGTCTGGAAGAGCGTTCGGGTGGGCTCTTGTCTCCGGAGCGAGATTCCATTCCCCTCGATGCTTCGGGGCGCGCTTGGCATGCCCGGGTTGCCGTGCAGGGTGTGCGGCACACGGGGGGAACTCACGCGGCGGCTCTGTGGCCACCATCACGCGCATTTGGGGCGCACAGCCGCTTCCTTGCTCTTCTTGGCAAGGAACGAGCCCTTGCACATCCCCACCTCTTGAAGGAGGGCAGGTCTGCTCATGCGCACTGTGAAGAGCGAGGCCCTGGCGCTTGCTCTTCTGGCGCATGAGCTTCCCTGGGGCTGCGGAGCCCATGCAGTCACCGCTCGGCACCCTGGACCTGCAGCCCCACGGTGAAGAGAGGCCCCTGCTGGAGCTGGCGGAGCACAGCCGCACGTGCACGGCAGTGGGGTGGCAGGCCGGGCCACCCCCCCTGTGTTCGGCGCCTGAGAGCCCCGAGGGCAGGCCCATGCTCACCTCCTGCCCCACAACCTCTGTCGCCCCTTTGAGTCAGTCTTGTCTCCTGGCCGCCTCCGGCTCTCCCCCACTGGCCCCTGAAAAACGAAAATCCACGGGGAGGTGGCCCCACCCTTTTGCTAACACAGAAAATGCCATTGCACTTAGAAACATTGGGCCGGTTTTCCTTTTAGAAGCAATATGACGAAGGCTCGTGGCGGAATTTCGAGCAGACTGGTTCTGAGCTGGGCTCTTTCTGCCCCCGCTCCCCTTCCCCAAAGCCTTTCCTTTTGACCTCAGTCAGAGGGCATCGTGCAGCCTCGGATGCATGGCGCTACGACTCTGGACCAGAGGCAAAGAAAAGTGTAGAGGCTTTCCTTCCTACTGCCCTTCCACCAAATGAATGTTTTTAATTTGTTCTTTGTCTTTGTTTGTTTGTTTGTTCGTTTGTTTTTCTTGAACGTAAGGGTGGTAAGGTGCCAGGGCTGCTTTTGGAGGCCTAAAATTCTGAGATGTAAAGAAAATAATTATCCCAATAACCATTTTGATGATGGGCGATGTCCTTTTCTTTCACACAGGTATCAAAACAGCTTAGCCTTTCCATCTGGAAATGAAGCAATTTCAGTTCTTCTGCACCCCCCCCCCCCCCCCCATGCAAACAACAGCAACAACCATAATCAAGCACATTAAATTCAAACACTTCTGTGTCTAGGTTTCCTTAAAAATGAACGCATGTATAAAAACAGTCCTCCGTTGTTTGGTCCTGCTTCTCAGCAAAAGGCCTCCATCTCTGGTGTTGTTTTCTAATTGTCTGTTGCCCGGGGGCTTCGTGCAGGACCGTGTACCATGAATGAGGATTAAACTGGTACGTGGCAAATTGTTCTCTTGGTGAAACACAGCACCCTTCCTGCAGGTATGTACTGCACCCAGCTGTGGGACCTTCGAGTCTGAGGGGGTGCAGTGGGCGTTTGCTGAATCCCCAAATGGTTGCATTTATCCTCAAGGCTGATACTGGGCTAGAAATTCTGGTGCATTCATTTTCCGTTCCAGTCCCATCCAGAGCTCTGTTGCTTGAGTTAGGAATCATGCTGTTAGTTGTTTGTTGACATGGCTATATGTTTGTTTCTGTTTTTTATTTTTAAAGGCATAAAGACAGAGCTGACTAGATGCTACTCGCTTGGTTTTTATTCAGGTTTTAAAATCAGCACCTTAACCTTAAGCAACAGGATTCCCTGCCGTAACAGTCGCAGATCATTCTGATAGTGCTGCGTCTTAAAATAGCCGCTGCTTGCTGGTCCTCCCCTGCCGAAGGGCACGAGAGGCCTGCTGACAAGACATGCGGACGCTGCAATAATTCACTCGCATCTCGGCTCTTTTCTCAGCACATCACAGTTTTGGACACAGGCGTGACTTGTGGGCACAATCCTGTGGTTTAATTTATAATCAGGGATGCTGCTTCTGGTAATTTCGTACTGTTTTGCGTTCCCCAGCTCTTCCACCTGGTTTGGCTGACTTTTCAGGCGTCCCTCTGCGGTGTGCAAGAGGCTCCAGTGTCCACGGGGGCAAAGCCCCGTTTTATTCCCAGGCATGAGCAAGCCCATTCCACCCCAGCGCCATGCTCCTCCGCCTCTTCTTCCTCACTTCTCAGTGGGCGAAGAAGCTCCCGCACACCTGAAGCTCTGCGTCGGTCCTCTGCTGTTTGCCCCAAATGAGCAATCGTGGGTTAATTATGGCATGGAAAGCCAAGGGCACAGCCTCTAGCCCCTCCCTGGGTCCCGCCTTCCATTTGCAAGTTACAGTCATCCCCTGTGTAGTTATTCGCAGGATGTTTGGGCCCAGGCACGTGGGTTTTTAGCAGCTAAACAACCCAGTGTTAAGCCAACAATAACCCATGGCTTATCTCCAGGTTATTTAATTCCTAAATAACCGAGAATGCCCAGGTTTGGATATCCTATGAATGGAGCGATTAGATATCACTAACTAAAAATAGAAACTCTGCATGTGCTAGAAGCAGTACACTTGCTCACAGATTGTGCCAGTTAACCCATGATTGCCCATTGCGTGCCCATGTGCACTGCGCTGGCTGCCCAGAGTGCCAGAAAGTCTCAGAGCTCCAGCTTCTTTGCTCTCCCTCATGCTGGGAGATGTGAGGGTTAATTAACCCACAGTCACCTGGTATGTGTGAACTGGAGTAGAGTATCTGTGGGTATTCTGGTCTTCCCCACAGGGCAAACCAAGAGTGGGTGGCCTTCCCACATGCTTATGTGCACTTGTACAGGGTCCGCCCTGTGCATGCTCGCGTGTGTTTTAAGGATACAGGTATGGCTTCCACATAGCTTTTGCATCAGGGAGTGCTCTCGTGAACACACTGGTGCGCGGACTGTGCCAAGCGCGGAGCTGACGGGAGGGGCCAGCCTGCGCTGCAGGGAAGCTCAGCCTCTGGCACCTGGGTGTCTTCTTAGACCGAGGCTACAGAATTGTCAGTCTCTGGCCGTGGCCCATTCCTGTGTGAGCAGAAGCCCTGGGTCCCTCTGCCAGAACGGCAGTGGCGGGCGCTCAGCAAGGTCCACAGAAGCCTTTCAGAACAAAGGGACAAGGGCTGTCTCTGCTCTGCTCTGCTCTGGGTGTCCGGTGAACTTTCACGCGAGCGGCTCGCGGAGCTCGTTTCCTCTGGTGTCCTGCATAGTTCAGGGAGGGCCCGATTCTGCTTCTCCCACTGCTAAAAGTTCTGCGCCCCATTTATGTATAGTTGAACATCGGTATTTGCAAGGTCCTCGTGTGTGAACTTTTGGATGGTGACGCTAAGTGGGCATAGGTCAAAATGCCGGGCAAACTTGCACTGTCCCATTTTGTAGCCAGAGGACCCTCCCAGGCAAGGTCGCCCCTCCTGGCCCGTGTCCCTTCCAACTAGAGGGCTTTCTTGGGACAGGACCCTTTGCTCTGAGTGGGAACCTGGCACGGGGCACCATCACACAGGTCCTGCTACTGCACAAGCCCCTCTTCCTTTTGGTGGGGGTCCCGGGGCAGGGAAAGGAGCCAGCTCCTTCCATGGGATGGTGCACAAACACAAGCAATATAGTAAATTGCTTGCCAAAATGATCGCTAAGTCGCTCGCCAATCATTTCCACCTCCCTCATTCCGAGTGCGCTCATGAAGTGTCCTTTCATTAGGGCAAAATCCACGTCTTTTGGAGAAACTGAGTCCGCCTGAGTGCAAGGAAGGACTCTTCTTGTTTGAGCTTTGCCTTTTGTAGTGTATTTAATAAAGCAAAATCTTTCTCCATTCTCCGCCGTTCTTTGCTTTTCCACGAACGACTGGAGGCGCTTCTTGAGTTCATGCTGACTTTAAAAAAAGACCCTGGATTTTAAAATCATCTGGCCTTTTATTATGTTAGAATAGCACCTTTTTGCTGTGTAAGACTGAAGCAGAGACCTTTACTCTTGAACACGCAACATTGGAGTTGCCCAGTTCGGCCCCTCTCCGATGTCACCGTTTATTTAATGTCCCCTCTCGGCCCTGCCTTGAACTGTTCTGTGGAATTGTCTTCCCTGTTATGAACAGAATCCAAGTTCTTTTAGCATTTAAGCATTAATTTCTGTTTCCATTTACGACTCTCCTGTTTTGGGCTGTGTGACTTTCTTGGTTAGAGTGAACGGCTGGTGTTAAGGTCTGCCACCACCTTGGCAAACAAGAAATGTGGCCCAAGAAATATGGAGCTTCCAGCATGCCTCTCACACCAGATATACATCCGCTGCGTGGCGTTTTCCAAATTCACCGGCTGAATTTGGAACCGGTTGTGTATGCCCAGCAGGCTCCTTATCCCTTGGCCCCTGCAAACCTGCATGCCAGTTTGTCTCCCTTCTTGTAACGTAACATTCCCACTGAGTTATATAGTTCTCACTGGGGTAGGAGTCTTGTTTTCTGGGCTGGGCCGCTTTGGACTAGAGGTGACCGCGTCTCGTGAAAGAATGCTTCTCTACGTAAACAGTTCCCTGCATGCAAGAACTAGCAAGTTAGGGGCTTCCCACCTAATCTTGTTTCTTTGCCATAATAGTTTTCTACATGCGGAGATTTCTTTTTAAATGGTTAAGCACTTGTTCAGGTGCAGGAGCAACAAAGCCCAGGATCATGCCCCTGGGGAGAATGAGTGCATGGTGACAGGAAGTGTCAGGAGCCACCGATGCTCAAGGGTCGCCCTTCTGCTCAAACCGTCTCTCTTTCTTCCATGTTAGTGCTATGGCAATATGGCAGACACATCTGAAGGGAGGAAGGCTCGGAGGGGGGCCTTCCAGTGGCCTTTTCAGTGTAGCTTTCTTAAAGCCATGCTCTTGTCTATTTTCAGCTTCAGTCGGGTTCCTTTTTCCTCACTTTAATCCACACTTCCTGCATACTTTAAACAAACCCATGTATCTGTTCAAGTTCTTTCCTTTTTTTGTATTCTCCTGAACTCTCTTGTGTGTGTGTGTTTGTTTTTATTTGTGACTTCCTTCCTTCTTCTTCTTTTTTTTAAAGGCCATCTCTCTTTACGGGTAGACAAGGGGAAGTGTGTTTTTTTTGTATACCCCAATCTTGACATGTTAACAGGTACTTTCTAATATCAAATTTGCAGTGTCGCATTTAACTTGCCTTAAAAGGTGGAGAGAGAAATCTAGTATTTGCACTTAGCAAAAAAAAAAAAAAAAAGATTAATTTAAAAAAATGAGCAAACCCTGTCAAGGGAAGGTGTGCGCATTGTTCTGCAACTTTGTATAACAATAGCTGAAAATGAATAAGTGGTTTATTAAAAAAAGAAAAAAACAGGAAAAAAAGAATATTTTTCTTTACCTTCTGGTAGGAAACTGTTCTAATATTCTGTGTGTAAAAAGTATCTGTATTATATTGTAATTTGAAAGTTTTGTAATTAAAAGCAACCATTGTGCACTGTTTTTTGTGTTCTGGTTTCCTACGTACAATCAGTACCCAAAAACATTTTACTCTTCTTAGTGGTAGGCAGCTTAACCACGGTTGTCTTCACATTTTCAGATTGCTGCAGCTGAAAGCAGCAAATGTTTCCAGGCGAAAACAGCTGAAGTCTACCACAGAACCCTAATTTGTCCCAAATGCAAGCAAGAGAAGCCACCAGCTGTGCAGTCTCAAGAAAGTTTCCAGCCTTGCATTCCGGCTGAAAACCGAAGCAGGACTTCCTTTGTATTGCAGTCTTGTTCTGACGCGGAACGAGTGTTGTTTGGCCTTGGTCCCCAGTACTGGTCAAAGCTTCTGCACACATTTCCAGCATTCCTGTACTGAAGGTTTGTGCATGTAGGAAATGAGCGATATGCTCGGTTAGGTAGTCGGCAGTAAAGAGCAGACACAACTGGGTGTGTTGCACATGTGCTCTGCTTGTGCGTTGTGTTGGTCTTCATAGCATGAGCCACTTCGCCTTTCATGTGGTGTATATGGAGCAAAAAGCACACCCCTACAAGAGAGACGTGTTTATCTGCTGTGGATAAATGCACCTTTGTACCTGAAGAGGCCGGGCTATAGACAGACGTTTTTGATCTCGTGTGACCTTTTCCTGATGGCTACAATCAAGTGGCATTTGGACTCCACCTTGCAGACCTACCTCTTTGCCCAGAGTGGAGCACAGAATTCCCAGACTATTGCAGGAGCTTCCTAGGATGCATTGTACTGGTCTAGGGAGCTGCAGTATCCTAAGTTGGCTCAACATGACACCAACCCTCAAGGTTGAGTGTAGGCTTTCACTGGACCTTTTATGGGTTCGCTTGAATCCATGGCTGCATTGGCCATGAGCAAGACACAAAGCCAGAAACCATGGATTCTCGTCATGGGCTACTTGTGGTTAAAAAAGCACTGTTGGATTCACAAAACACGATTTTCAGCAAGCCTCCTTGAGTGAGGGGTGTTGCATTGCGTGAACATGGCTCATCCAGTCTAGCAGTCTTGCACCAACCAGCAGGGCCTGTCCAGGCTTTCTGCTTGGAATTTTTCCAGCCCTACCTGGAGATGCCAGGGAGTGAACCGTGGGACCTTCTGCGTGCCAAGCAACTGTTGTTCTCCTGACAACCGTCGGTGGTTCCAGAGCTGAACGAGAATGTTAACACAGCCAAAAGGCTTGGTTAAGGGCATGTAGACCAATGCCCAGGTCTGTTGGGTCTTACCCTGTCCAGCAAGGATCATGTGACCCAGAACAAGGATGGTGAAGACATTGCAGCCTGCTTCGTTTCGGCCTCCCAATTTGATCCAGGGTCTCAAACAGGCTGCCTCTGAGCTCACACTGAGTGCAAAAGAATTGTTTTCATTAGCAGAATTGTGTCTGCAGTCCTTCCACTTGGTCTCCACCATCCAACCCCAAACTTCATTATAAATGCCCTAGTTTGTAAAAAGGAGGAAATGATGCTGGATACCCTGAACTACTGCAAATAGCTCACAGTTCTGGATTTGCTTTAAAGTCTGCCCAGGATTTGCCGAGTTTTGGGGAAAATCTGTAGCCCTTAATGTGATGTGCATCTGCTTGTGTTCATTTTCTGTTTGAGGAGCTCATTGAAATGCCACAGAATTACCTAAAAGGATCCTTGAGGTAACTTGGAACTCCGCAGTTCAGTACTGACCATTCCCTTGGATCATCTCATAGCTCAAAACGTGATTCGGTCTTTGGAGTGGCTTCACTTGTCCATGCCTGCTCATACAGAAGTGGAGACCAGAGGAACCCCTTCCCGTCTTGCAGACACACCAGCCACGGATCTGTGCCAAATAATGCATCCTCCTCACTCTAAGCCATTGTGTGCTTCGCTCACACAATCCTGCAAGACTTGAATCAAGGCGGGGGACCTGTTGAGGGTGAAAAAAACCCATGCCCTTTGTCTGCCCAAATCCTTTGTCATCCAGCAGTAGCATTTAAGTCGGGGCTAAGAGATACTTCTCTCCCCCTGCCCTGCATTGGCGCCTGCATTTCCAGAAGAGATGGGGAGACTTGGCCATGATGACCAAATCGAAACCCCAAGTCCTGAGGTTCCAACAGTGAATTCCCTTGTCTGGTGCGCCTTGCAAAACAATCCCATGTCAGTTCTTAGGGAATAACGGGGATGCTTTGCAAGCCAGCGCATCTCCCCACGGTCCATAGCAATGCTAAACTATGCTGCGTTGCCAGGACGGAGTCGGATGAATGGGGTGAGCGGGCGAGCCATTCTTGATGTATTAATCCAGGACAAAGGGAGCGCGTTTCTGCAGCAGCGACACCCTTGCCCTTCACTGCCGCTTCCTCCGGAGGAACGGAGGCTCCCCCATTAAATGAATGTGCAGCTCTGTGAGGATTCCTGACAGGCACATCCAGTTAGATTAGCTCAGCATTTCAAACGCTGAGCAGGTTGGATATTCAGCCCAGCCTGGCTGGCAGCAATTGCGTCCCTGCTCCGGTTCGTCCCCCCCTCATTCGGAGCCTTTTGCCGTCCGTCCGTCTCGTTCCAGTTCCTTCTGTCTTTGTGTCTTTGAGCCAGCTGTCTGGGCCAAATGTGGGTCGTTCGAAATGGCACCCCAGATTCACAGCCTGAAGTTGAAACGTCTTGTCTAGAGGTTTGAGCCCCGATGTGTTTTTAGCCAGTGCCCCAAGGAATGGCAGGCAAGCAGTTAACTTCCGCACCCTCACCCAGCCCTGATTAAAGAGGCAGCTGTGCAGAAACACCAGCTGATAATTCCCACGTCTAATAATAATGCCTAACCCCTGTAAAGGCTCCTGGGTCAGGCTTCCCCGTCAGCCTTAGAAACAGACCTGTTCTTACGTAGTGCCTGTAGGCTTTGCTTTGCACCTTTCTTGCCTGCACTGGACTCATTTCCGACTTTGCTGGTGAAGCCAAAAGGCTGATTTCCGGAGCCATTTGAGAAGAACAGAGTGGGTACATGCCTTTGGCCATCTCCAGACTCCTGGGCTCCACAAGGATGCGGTCTGAGACCTCTTGTTGACCGGGCCCATGCAGGGGGTCTCGCTTTGTTTCTCAGACTATACCTGGCTAGTGGGGTCTTCCGTTCTGCAGGAGATAGGTTGGACTCATTCTATGTGGTCTCTCATTTTGTGGTCACTCCTTGGGATTGAACAGAGGAAACCCGTGTGATAAAACCAGAGGAAGGCAAGCCCTGTGCGTTGTTCAGCAAAAGCACTGAAAATTTGTGTGGTAAGAAGTATCATGCCCTATGTCTGTCTACGCAGTTGCCGGGGAACATGGGTAGGGGCTTCTGTTGCCCTCGTGTCTTGCTTATGGATTTTCTGTCAGTAGCTGAGCAGCCGCTGTGTGAACAACTGTGTTAGACCCTTTGTTGCTTTGTCTGGGAAAAAGTGAAAAGGGCAGGAAGAAGTTTGAGGTGTTTTCCTTACCTAGTCCTTATCATGTCACCAAGATACTGGTTGCAAGTCGAATTTCCACCGTCTCAAACATGGAGGCACAAGAACTGGACATGATGCGCTCTGATGTATGCGAGTTGCATCAAATGCACTTGGTTTGACTTTGTGGACTCTTCCTCCAGGAGACTGGAAACTCAGTCCTGAAAGTTCCTCAGAATAAGTGGAGGCAAAACAGGAAAACCCACCATTTGAACATTTCTGTTCCAAAGGCTTCTCCTGCTTAGCCCTCACTGCCATGGAGAATATAAGTGGAGCGCACTGGCTTGTCTTAGCAGAAACGCTTCACACAATGATCCGTCTGCTCACGTCTTTGCCCACCGCTGAGCAGCAAGGCATCCCTCTGGGGCTCAGCAAAAGCGTCAAGATGGGAGACCCCGTACCTTGCAAATGTGGTTGAAATAAGCCACTGCCCACACTGCCCCAGCTCCCTAACACCTGGGGGCAATTGTGCCTCTTGGGAAGGTGAGCAAAGACCATGTGGGCTTGGTTCAACTTCGTACACAGCCATGGAGTCCGTTATCTCAGCCGTGTTTCCAGAACAAGGCCTACACTTTCATGGTCTGCTGGGGACTGGGGGCCTGAGAGGTGACAGCACAGTTAAAGGTAGAAAAGAACAACACTGCACCCCTGCAACAGCATCTTCCAAATGTAGTGCTCTCCAGATATCTTGAACTTCAGCTCCCATCAGGGGGGTCAGGAGCCCCAAGAGTTCCATCAAAAACATCTGGAGGGTGCCAGATCTCCAGATGTGTGGTCCCTCACCTCCCACAGGCCCTTGCCAACAGGGCTAATGACTAGAGATGCTGGGAACTGAAGTCCCCAACATCTGGAGATCAACTTTCTCCCCACCCCTGGTTGCTGGGGGAGCCCCTGCTGATGTCAGAAGCATGGCAACCAATGGGGAGAGCTCTTTCCGGTCCCCGCTGTTGCTAGGCTGATCTTGGAGCGGGCTAGCCGGAGAACAGCAGGCGTCGTTAATATTCTGGTCCCCTTTCTCTTTGCTATGGAATGACATGCAGTGATGAAACCGATGCTGCTAATGCAGCGAGGAGGAGGAGGAGGCCGGGGCTGAAATCCGCGAATGGAGGGACGGAGAATCCGTTTGTAGTCCCGCTTCAGCAAGCCTGCATGGCTGAGATAGCCGTGCGATTCATGTGTAATCCGTGGCCCTCCACCTTTTCCCCTCCTCCTCTCGACCTCTCCCGCTGCTTTAATGGCACCAGAGAGAGCGGGGAGGGTCAGGGGCGTCAGCCCTCAGCAAACTGCCGGTGCTGATAATTGCAATTGAAGGAAGTGAAGTTAATTACCTGTGGAGGGTGGGTGCAGAGCAGCGGTTTCTTTGTCGGAGGAGATGTTAGAGAAGGCCCACAGCCCCCCGGCTGAAATCAAGGTAGGGGGCCCTGAGAAGCTCTGCCGCATTTGCCCCCCGCCCCCCCATGAGCTGTCCTTCAGCCCACGGGGCTTCATCTCTGTTCCCCTCACCCCAATCTTGGTGCCCAAGGGTTGTTTTCCCCCCACCTAAGATCAAATACC